CCATATGTTGTACACTCGTTCCTCTCAGCCAATCAGAACACTCTAAACTCAAACTGGACATTCAACTCGATCTTGTTATCAATTAAACTTTATTGTATTTCAATTGGTTTTTATATGCTCCCAGTCAGTGCGCTTCACATCCTCAATTGTCATATCATCATAAATCACCATTCATGCTTATTTTAGACATTACTGGTATATATGTACAATATTTTTGTAAATTTATTCTGTAAATTTATTAACTTTCCTTAACACTGATGATCTCGATTTGCAACAAACCTTTTGTTAACAAATGTATATATGCAGTGTTTGTGATGCAATGGCCTTCAAAAGACAATGTAGCAATTATCACACTTTATTTTTTTGACACAGATGGATGCACAGACAGATTTTTCAACTATTATATAAAAAAATGAACGCCATGTCTTTTTCCGCAAAAAAATCAGATAAAAGTGAAATTCCATAGAATAATGACACCTTCCACAATGTCCATAGAGTGCGTGGTGGTCAGAGTCGGGCAATATCTGTTAGGTGGAGTGTGCAAGTGATCATTTCCCCTTTTTACATCCACAATTTCTCTTGGCAGAGGGTAACTTTATTGCTCAATGTAAAACTAAATGCTGGGAAAACAGTTTTTTAAACGAGCTGACCTTTCAGCAGAGATGTCATTATGATGAACCAGCAATTACGGATTGTGAAGAAATACATAGTATTTGTCAATCACATAAGTGATGCCTGCGGAATGCAATAGTTTTCCTACAAGGCCTCCATGATATATATATATATATATATATGCGTATAAAATAGAACAAATTGTCAAGAATGTGGTCTTCGTTTAATTATTGTGGTTAAATTAGGTAAAAAGACAGGCATGAAACAACGTCAATTACGGACCACATTTAAAAAAAAGACAATAATAAAAATCTAGCCAATAACAACAGCAAAATCAATCAAATCCTGTTCGGTATGTATATAAACATTAGATATAAACATTATAGAGCAGGGGTCTTCAACATTTTTCAGACGAAGATCCCCCAATCTGATTGCGAGATGGAGCAGGGACTATATATACCATACTATATAAATTGCATGAAATTGTTTTTATATTTTACTGGGCCAAGTTCCATGTATAAACATAGCTACCCTGTTATTGTGCATCCAATACTAAGCTATTCAAATAATACACAGGTTCATATATTCATTAACATTTTTATTTTTAACATGTGCAAGGTACAGGGTGGCTGTACCACTGCCATTTATAAACATACATCTTGTATAAAACACGGAGCTAACAATTAATAACAACTTATTAAAATGATTATAAATAGAATTATTATCGAAGTAAAAAAAAATTGTCTTATCAACCAAAAATTTTGCGACCCCCTTGCAGTACCTCCGCGGACCCCTGTTGAAGACCTAGGGTATAGAGAGATCTACTTTAATGTTTGTGCATTGTTTAAAGTTTTTTGGGGATAAATAACATGAACACATATATATTTACACCATGCACTCGCTATTCCAAGACAATTTACTTGCAGATTAATCGACTTTTCAAAAAGAAACACTGGATGTTATTAGGTTTGGCTTGAAATTATGTCAAAATTCCTCATGATGACGTTGATGTTTTTTGTCTTGTGATGAAAAGTATTGTCCCAATAGCATCAGCGTCCTTCCTAACAACATCTGGATTGCAATGCGTCAAGAATGACCCCCTGGACAATGCTTTACAGGAAAAATGGAGAAAAAGAAGAAGAGGAAAAGAACTAAAACAGACTAAAGCATTACACAATCAAATGTGGAGGGGAATGTGGGGGATGGGCTGCCTACAACATTTACAGAAATGTTCAAGAAGGATTCTCTGCATCATAAACCTGCTTCATTATTGTTATGTTAAAGAAACAACACAACAATGGTGAGGATAATAACGAGGAGAGGAGAACATGGGGATTTCATGGAGCATAGTGTCCTTTTTTCCTTAGATGTAATTCCTGAGTGTTCATTCCCACCTGGGGACAGGTCTAGAAAAGCTGGACCAAACCAACTGTGCAGTTTGTTTGCATGCAGTTTCAGAGGTCGCAGTGAGGCTGTCCTGAATAGACCATTCACGCTGCTGTTGCTATGGATTCACGGGCCGCGGAAACGCAAGACTCAGACACTAACAGAGAAGCCAAGTGTGTCACGATAAAAGAGTGGCCTTTGGATTCTCTGCAAGGATGTCACACAGGCCTGCTGAGGCTGAGCTTAGCCACATAATTTATGCAAAATGATGGGCAGTGCTGGTGGCTCTCCAGCCTTTGCTATCAGCCCTCAGACTTTCAAACAAGATGTCTTTATGTCTATTTAAGGTAGGAGTCAATTGAGACCCGCAGAGGAACAGCCATGCTCAGACTTGAGCTACGTGCAGCAAACAGGGTCGTGCTCACAAAAAGGTAACTGTCTTTGTTACAGACGTCTGACCGTTAGTACACTGCAGTGATTTGGCAAGGATTTAGGCACAGATGGGAGCTCCGTGTCTTCCTGTGGCTGAGAGGAACTCATGAGGGATGACTGAGCACGACTGACACATGAATACGGAACCAGGGTTTAAAGGTTCCTTAGAATCCTATTGGCTCCTCTCGTTCTCTCCCTCTCTCTCTCTCTCTCTTTCCATATCTCCTCGCCATCTCTATCTCCCTGTAAGCCGTTAAAAAGCGAGGTGTTACATAAACATACGGTAGAAACATACAAAGTTTGTTATTTCTAAGCTATTATGTCTTTTTCCCTCTGTCGTTTAGCAAGTTCAATCAAATTCTTTCTCTTTCAGCATCACGTGCAGATGGGGCTATATGGTCACTCTTGTAAACTCGTAAATACTGTGTCCGTCTAAGTAGAACCATAACACACACATGCAAAATGCTTGCACATTTGTTTTCACGACCCCGTAGTATATTGGAGCCTAACCTTTGAACGTCAGTTCTGGGGAAGTTACTAATTGATTGTGCGTGGGCCTTTGCACCTTGCAAGCAAGAGGAAGAACAGTTTGTCACTCGCCACAAATACTATAGTTTGAGGACAATCATTTTGGTGTGCTTTAGTGGAGGATCAGCTGCTAAACGTGTGGACCTGTTGCTGTCTTTGCACTTTGCTTAAGTGTATGTCTGAGTCAGCTGCTCTCATTGTACTGAATGCAGAGATTCAAAGCATGTTGTCAAAAGTTCAAACCTGTTTTCCCCCAAAATCAGTACATATTTGGAGGGTTTGACTTACGAATATTAGAATATGAACATATTCTAATATTCGTAATAATTCCACTTTGTAATTTAACTAATTTGAATGAAAACCAACCAAACTATCTTCAGTGAACACACATTTACATTGAGAATTATTGCCATCTAGTGGCCAATAAATAATTACTGGTTTAGATACGGTTTTAAATAAGCAGTGTGTGGGATCTCATGATTGGAACAAACTACCTGAAGACGACTTGATCCCAATCTCTTACCTTACGACTCATATCTTTGAGGCACGCCTAACTCCGTGAGGGTTTAGGGCTGTCCCACTGTCAAATTGTCATAAAATGTGTAAAATGTGTTTACAGTTCTTTCTGCCCTCTATAAAAACCCTTTCCATAAACCAGCATTAAATGCTGACATTTCCCAAGGGACTTACTCATAACCAGTGAAAGCATGTTGACTAGAAGAAGGTCAACAAAGAGGACAAAACATGTGTATCAGACCGTTATATTACATTTACACAGAAACATTAAGGATGAAAGATGGAACAAAAAAAACACATGAAATCATACGACATTTGCTCAAATATTTAACAGTTTTGATGAAAAACAGTAAAAATGACCTTTTATCTTGCGAGGACAGAGCGTGGAAACCACGGAGTAAAAAGTAGAAAACAAATACCTACAATTGTATATCATAATTGTTGACGTTGTCACGGTGACGTGTTATGTTGCATCAAATTGTTGTCCCATTTATATTTAAATTGAGACTCAACCACCTACCAGTTGACGTCAATTAAGTCACTAAGGCTTGAGGGCTGAGTGGTTTAGGGCAGTGGTCCCCAAACTTTTTTACCTCACGGATTGTTTCCATGTCAGACAATATTTCGCGGACCGGTCGAGAAGGTCCGGCGGAAATTCGCTGGTGGGCGAAACTGCCGTGCACGTGCACGGTAAGAGGACAATTGTAAAAGTGAAGAAAAACGCCTGGTGACGCGTGGGCAATATGTCAGAGGGACGAGCGCATATAATTAGTGGAAAAGCCGGTCAATTTTCAAAATAAAACATTTTTCAGAAAAAATAAAATAAAAATCTTTCTGTGGTGCAGCGTGGTACCAAATGGCCCACGGACCGGTAGCGGTCCGCGGCCCGGTGGTTGGGGACCACTGGTTTAGGGGACACCAGGGTTGGACCCTCCTACAACCTACAATGGCCTTCAGGTTTAAAAAAGGCTATTTAGCACTCTTTTTCAATTCTGAAAGCTGGAGCTCAAATAGACTGAAAGCTCAGATCAATATCAAAAATCTTTAAGACCCGAGGACCTGTATGTGTGCGAGAGAGAGACAGAGAGAAGGAGACAGAGAGAGAGAGAGAGAGAGAGTCACACACACACACACACACACACACACACACACACACACACACACACACACACACACACACACACACAATACATACACCTTAAACACATCTAAAGATTTAAATCTGGGAATCGTTTAAACAGAGAGAGGTTCCACAAAAAACTCAAAAGTGATTGAGTCACTTCTAATCAACTGATGAGAATCACCTTTGTCTGAAAGTGCAGAGTCACTGTTGGTCACAGAGAAGTTGCCCAGTAGGACACACAGTAGACCGACACAAAAACTGTAAGTTGTATTAATTTATCAAAACTTCATTTTAGGAATCCCAAGACTGTCCCAAAGTAGACATATAATTAGTGTGAATAAATGAAAAATGACATTGCAGTTTTAAAAGTGTCCACATTTCTTTGTTTTTATAGGCCTGACGATGTGAAATAACATTAAAGTCAATGAGAAAGTGAAGAGGGTCGTTTGGTGCTTTCAACTAAATAATATCTACATGCTTGTTGATGAAAGGTGAGATCAACACGTCCAGTTCAACGCAAAAACTATTAAATGCTTACTGTCTTTAAATCTTAATCTTAAAAAGTTCTCACAATAATCTTAAAAGATCTCAGTCTGAGTGTTGAATGACTTCCTGGAAACCTGTGAAGTGAAATAGATATAAAGTATAATGTTACAATTTCTCTTCATTTCTTAGTCATGCTCATCTGTATCACTCCTGTTATTGTTCTTGGCTTGTTGGTGTATTTGTGCAACATGTCAGGGAGCTTTGGTCTTGACACCGACACACAGTCCTGATGTAAATCTCATGGGAAGGATGTATTTTGCACAGTTCTACATTTTTACAGAGCAACAAGAAGAAAAGAGTTATTTCATTTGTTTTGTACCGCTAGTCCACAGTGCAATGCAAATCACACCGTACGTATAAATGTGTATCCGCTCAATATTTCCCAAAAGATTAAACATTAAGCCTACTGTCCTTCAAGGGGAGGAGTTTCTCTGTGATCAAAACAAATGCTTGGTCATACAGCGCGCTTCTGTTCCATCCCTCTCTGTGTGGGAGACAGCTGAACAGATGGGAAAGACACACAAGAGATCAAGTGCAGGTAATATATGTAAAACTTTACTAATATTTTTTTTCCTGCTTTCAAATATGAGCCGTCTCACCCATCTTCTCCCTTCTGTACCTACATTTCCTCCTGCTTTTATGATTTTACCTAGTTTTTCCCATGCTTGTGCTACCATGGTTTTGTACAGTGTTACATTTAGTAAAACAAAGATTGCCGTGAAACCTGACGAAATATAGATTCTATCCAAAACTCGTTGAGGGATTTCCATCTATCCACTTCTAATTGTGATCATCAATAACAACTCAAAACTCTTATCTCATCAAGCTTCAGCAGCTTGTCTTTGTGTTTCATATAGAGGGCAACTAATGCGGTAGGATATTAGAAAAGTAGGTTTATGGTAGGGAAAAGCAAACAGTGACTCATTTTCTGCATTAACTGCCTGTGGCTTAAGCCATTTAGCTACTTTGAGGTTGTGTGAGAGAATGAATTCTTCTGGGAGCAAGGAGTTACTAATTGTGTTACTTTATGATGAAAGTTTGTTTTTAGGTTACACCGTGTCCGCGCCACAAGGACTCTGTGTTACTGACACGATGAACCAAATAGATAAGCAGGGTGAGGACGGTGTCTGTTCACTGCGTAAGCTATTCTCCTGCTAACAGCCACTATAGAGAGATAAGAAAGCATAACCAAATTCAAATCCTGCTAGGGGTGTTTTCTTTAAGACAGGAAAGGTCGACCAGCATTACAATATTGATGTGAATGTTAGAATGATCATTAGCAGTGAAACCCGGCCTCGAGGTGGAGGCAGCTGCATGTTGACTTCCCTGTTATCCAGATCTAGAGGCAAAGTTGCTTCAACGATCCTCTGTCTCCTGCTTCTGTTTAGGTACACAAGCTATGCTTCAATAAGTTCATTGTCAACATTTTCTACATGATGTTATGATAAATTTGTCAACGTATTTGTATTCTGTGACTGAAACAGTCAGAGTGGAGTTATAAATCTCTATATTTGCAGCTGGAGAATAGCAGACATTTTGTTATTCTCATTAAGTACCAATGTTGTATTAATATGGTGTTTTTATAAGGGCATTAAAAGAGTTAATAGTAATCTATGGTTAATTTAACATAATCCGACAATGAGACATTGTCTGTGTAAACAGAGTAGATATTTACACAAAGCCCCAAAATGGATCCTAGCGGCACATAACCTGGATTTTAGAAAAGAAGGAAGGAAATTGAATGATGAATTAATTGAATTCGTTGTTCAATAAATGTGCCAGTCATATCATTTTATCTTTTAAACCCATAAAGTCATAAAAATATTATTTTTGTGGGATCAAGTATATTTTTCTCTGACCAAGTAATTTATTCTAAAATACCCTGAAATGTCATGTATATTCATTAATAATGATCTGATACAACAATCCACTTATGTAAAAATACTGACTATAGGACTTTTCAAGTTTGGATTGTTCTATTCCTCACATATTCATTGGGCAAATGCAATGTTATGGTTATAAATATCCATTGATTCCCTCTCCTAAGAGAGAGGCCAAAGACTAAAGATGATTGCATGAAGTCAACCACGGATTTATGGCCTCTGACAGTTAAAGTCAGCAGCTGTGTCATCCAAGACTCAAACGTCAAATCTTACCGTTGAGCTGATGCCTCACAGTTTAGAAGACAGAGGCAGAGGTTCACAGAGCTGTGAGTTGCAATGAGATTAATATACCATCGAAACCGTCATTGGTAATTGATGATCATGTCTGAAACGTTATTCTAAATTTGCAAAGCTTTGATCTGGAGTGTGTGAGTAGTAATATTCTGGTTTATGAATGTGTGAATATTGAATTGAATTTGATTTCTGTTTTTACAAGGTTTGGTGGAAAACACAGAGTTGACAGAGTAAGTGTGCGTATCTTGTAATGTTTGCTCAAATGTTTATACATTTTGAAGTGCTGTCTTTACTTCAGTGTCAGTCCAAACTTAAGCGTGGACCCGATATTGCTGCTGAAGAATAATGTTAAGATAACCGGGTCGAGTTGGGCATTTATCCTGAAAGACAGAATAACACATTCAAGTGTATAACACAACATACAGCTTGTCGGGAATTTCGGATGACTTTTAGAACATGGGAATCTTTAAGACCCAAGATAAAGCCTGATGTTCACACATTAGCGCTGTCGTTGTAGTGATAACAGGTGAGGCTGTGCATCTAATATGCACGTTAAGTGTCATTTATCAGGAATCAGGAAACATTTATTGCCAAACAATGTCAGACATACAAGGAATTTGTCTTGGCGGTTGGTGCGTGACAGTAGACAGTGTAACAATAGACAACAAGACAGCAGTGCACAAGTAATAAAATAAAGTAAAATGAAAATGTATTTGTATAAAAAAATGTATTTGTAATACAAAATGTATTTGTAAGTGATGCCATTTAGAATTTAGAAGCAAAACTGTGGCATTTTTAGACATTTCTATGCTGAGACTTTAGTCATGAACAAAAGGAAAATGGTTTATTCATCACATTTAATAGTCATTTAATATTAGTCACAGTCACTTAAACCTATATCAAAGGTTTCTAAATTCTCCTTTTGCAGTAAATTTACATTTAATCCTAAAGAGGGAATAGACAACCCAGTGATGGTCACCACAGAAGACACAGGTAGGCACATTTTAAAATATCTTGTGTGTACCAAAGCTTTGCTCTGCACTGACAGCATCTCTCTGCCTGCACCTTGCTTAGACTCCGTGCGGACACTCAGCCCGCGTCTGTGTGTTCTTAAACGAGCGGAGGGGGGGTCCTATGGCTTTCGTCTGCGGGTGGAGAGGGGACTCTAGGGTCACATAATCAGAAAAGTAGTGGCAGGAGGGGCGGCGGGGTGCAGTGGCCTTTCAAGATGGAGACAGACTTTTGGAAGTCAACAACTGCTATGTTGACGATGTCTCTCACCCTGAGGTAAAATAAGGTTCCTTCATTATCAAAGTAGCAGAAGGACTGATTATAACTGGAGCTGTTTCTCTATTTGAATTAATCAGGTGGCCAGAAAAATAATGTTAAGTGGACAGCAGCTATGTTTATTGGTGTTGGATGGGGAGCAGTATGAGCATGCTTTGTCCCGAGGTCACGACCTCCGAGGTCTGAGCAGAGCTCACAAGGGTGAGGGTTGCAAACCGCCCAGACTCTGCCACATCACCAAGGATCCCGCCTCAGGCCTCGGCATCACCTTCACACCCGTGGAAGGTAACAACAAGTCCAAGGTTTGAGATTAGATGTCCAACAGAAGGGCGAGTGTTACTCACTGGCTTCTCTTGTTTGTGCTCTGCAGGAAAGAAAGGCCGATTCTCTGTCACTCTGTTCCCGGGAGGTGCAGCTGAAAAGGCAGGAGTGTGTAAGGGAGATCAACTGGTGTGGATGAACGGAGCAACAGTGTCTGACCTCACGCACTCTGCACTCAGCAGGATGGTACAAAGTCAGCCTTTTTTCATAATCAAGAAAGAAAAAAAGTTTGTTTTAATGTCATCCTTATTAATCATTCCCAAGATAAAAGTCACCACGACCAGCCTTGACAAGCAACCAGCAATAACATTCTGCTGTAGATGAAAAAAGGTGGTGAGCACATCACCATCTTAGTGATCGACGGCGAGAGTGAGAAGAACTACACGCGACAGAAGATGCCCATCCTGCCCACCATGGCCGTTCCACATAACCTGCCTGACAGGGCCAGAAAGCTGCAGCTGGTCTCCGGGCCTGATGGATACGGCTTCCTCCTTCGACTGGAGAAGAAGCCAACAGGACGCACATGTGAGCGGACAAAAATAGTGCAGAGACTCAAACACCGGCATTCCAGACTTCCCCTAAATTGTGTATTTTTATTTTAAATCTATAGTTCACGTGCTGCGTCAGATTGAAAGTGGGAGCTCAGCAAAGATGGCCGGGATGCAGGAAGGAGAGCTGCTGCTCGAGGTCAACGGGGAGCCAGTGGAGCCACTTACGCATGAGGAGATTGTGGACAGAGTGAGGCTGAGCGGACACCAGGTCTCCCTAACGACCATCACTCTCAAGGGGATGGACTTCTACACCCAGGTGGGCATCGCATCCCAGATAGGTTTTTCTTTCGAAAAATATATGAATTCCAAATGATTGGAGATCAAGCAGGAATTAAAATCCGGATAAATTTATTTGCTTTATCTTGCAGCTGGGCCTGTCACCTCTTTTCTTCAGTGAGGATGGTGCTGCGAGTGAAAAGGAGAGCAGCGTATCAGCCTCTGCAGCAGAGCAGTCGACACAAAAGGAAGTGGATGTTGTTTCTCAGCAGGAGGAAAACATGGAAGACTATGAAGTATCATATTTGTGAGCGTCAGACATTTTGAAGAAATTCAACAATCTCATGTCTACTGAAGACATCTCCAACTGAATGGAACAAGGAAAACTAGCCTGTTATTATTAATATGTATGTCAAGATTGCCTCAATCAGTTCTATCAGAAACAAAAATGAAACAAATTAAATAAGAAATTAAACTGCAATGGTGTAAGTTGAAATAAATCATGTATTTTGGTACTATTATCCATCGAGTGAGTTGAAACGTTGGGCAACAACTGCGTTTGATCTCAGTCTAATGAAATCCAAGACACATATAAGGCTCAACGTAACAAAGGACCACAATTAATACTATATTTCTTACTGTACAAATATAAATAAAAAACAGTTGGTCCGTGCGATTGGAAATACATTTGTAAATCAAAAAAGCTGTACTTTAAACGATTTAAACGATGTAAAAATAACAGTAAATTACTGCCCGACTGGAGCTACTGTTATTTATTTTTTACAGTATCTTACAGTATACTTTAATACGGTGGTATTTAATAAGGCTACTGTTTATTTGCAAAGGGCAATACAACTTGCTATACTTGCTAACATTTTATTTTATTTAAGACAAGACAAATTAATTACTCAATTATTTAAGTTAAATACATGTCCGAAAGTAAACAAGGACATTTGTATTACATATCAAAAGTACTGCATGTTTAGATGAATTAAAATACAATCATAGAATCTCATAAAGTCTTATGCTGAAGGATATTACTTTTTGATTGCATGAAATCAACATGGATGAAACAATAAAGAGGGAGGACACCTTGAAAAAGGCCTCAATGCAGCGTCTTGCTGGTGCCGTCAATCCCTAAATGGGAATCCAGCTCAAGAGAAGTTGTGTTATGACATCCAGGGTAAACACATTTAAGAAGCATGTGGTGCCCCACATATAATTAGATGCTACTCAATATCATTTTGCTTTAACTAGTTAAATCTGTGTCTTTAACAAAGATACATTTTTGTCGTGATTTGGATAGAAGAACTTACATGTAGAAAAACAAAAGAACTTGTGAAATATTTAAAAAATGTATGTTTTTTAGCTCCTCTAGTAATGTTCCAGAGATGATGCACGTGAGTTAATGTTATGGCAATTGTGTTGCCAGCTGTTTTTGAAGGGCCAATTAAGTTCTAGCTAGCTATCATTTCAGAGTTTGGGCCGCCAATATTGGCGACTAAACAGACCAAAGGAATCATTATCTGAGATGTTAATGGTTTAATAAGCATGAACACAAAACAATACTGCAGACATAGATGGCTGATAAGCGTAAAAACATTGGCCATTTGGCTGATCTTCACGACGCTGTGCTCAGAATAATGATTTGAAGGTGTGAGGTCCAGAGTGACATTCAGAAGCACTCGGTTATGTCTTTTTATTCATAAATGCGTATTATAGGCAATGAGCAGGCTGACTAATAAAAGTATTCTATTGACACATCAACCTACAATGTGATGTAGATGGATTGTGACTTGCTGTACTTGTGTAGAGAACAATGTAACATTATCCAGTACTTCACAGAAAATATTGTATCATGCTTTTAAATTAAAGTAGTCTGCTGGTATGGTTAACTTATCTATATGTGGGATGAATTATATTAGTGAATAGGAAAAACAATTTTATTTGTGTTGGTGAAGCATATCTCACATCTTCTTGGTTAATCAGCAAAACCTATAACTGTGGTGCCTATTTAAATAAAATCTGTATTTAAATGTCTCTTATTAACAGTAATCTATTAAAATAAATATGGGAATTATGGAAAAAAGTACAGTTTATATCTCCCTATTAGTGGACATATTGTAAATATTTGACGTTAGCTTATCTCTAAGTAACTAATTTATAAAGTAAAACCATACAAAGTGGAAAATCATATACTAAAATTCTGGAAACATTCAAATATAACTTACAAACCAATTATTTATAATGTGACCCGTAATACAGCGGAGCAGTGTTTTTCTGTACAGGCAGTTGTGCGGTGCGAGTCACGGGTCCTTCGTGTGGAGGTGACATTCATTCGGCTAGCAGAAGGCGGAGGTACACATAGCATCGACAAACGTTTCAACATGGCACAGGCAGTGCAAAAACTGGTCGCTAAAGTACCTTCCCTCCTCGGCGGTAGGTTAATTTCTGGTGTTATTAATGTCAGCTAGAATTGAATAACGAGGACTAAACCGGAGGCGTTATAATGTTTATGCACAGGACATTAAGCTAACGTTAACATTAGTTAGCTAGGCCGAGGCTGTCAGTTGCAGACTCAGTCGTGAATGAACGGATTATAACTTTAGCTAACGTTATCAATAATTAAATAAAACACAAACACTTGAGTTTTAATATTACTTTCATTTTTGTCTTTCCAAATTGTTTCAGCTAGTTAGCACGCGAGATTTGTGTTTGCAACCATTAAGCATAAGCCAAGTAACGTTGGCTAAGTGGCTAAAGCTACCAATCAACATGCTATGATCTCTGTAGCTCACAGCTAACCGTAGCCGCAGCAGACTCGTAACCTCAGTATTGCCTCTCTTCTAGCTGCTGTCACCTATTCAAAACCTCGCCTGGCGACCTTCTGGTACTATGCCCGGGTTGAACTTGTGCCACCTTCCCCTGCCGAGATCCCCAAGGCCATCGAAGGGGCCTCAAGCCTCATCAAGTCTTTCCAGTCAGGACGTCTCGGTCAAATCACAGTGAAGGTGCGTCTGTTATTGTCGGGCAGACCTTGCTGTTCGTATGTGTTAAGAAACACGTCTGCAGTTATTTGTAAAAATTGGGACACTTTGTGATAAAAAAGTGTATGTTATTGAAGTCTATAACTTTGAAATTCACTAGAAAGCATAATGCAAGTATGTGTCCCAGTGGGACACTGTAGCTCGTTGAAGGCGTAGCAGTATCCGTTTTGTTGACCAAGTAATTTTAAGATTTGACAAAAAGCTCACTTTAATAAATAACTTAAAATGTATTAATTTCTCGCAGACTTCAGCCAAGCAAATTGTTGGCAAAACATTCTACAACGGAGCACTTTCAAATGACAATTTATTTAAATAAACATTGAATTACTTTTTTTTGTTCTTGCTCAAACAAAAAAAGCATCATTAGATCATATATAATGTTAATAATAATAATGAAGCAGCACAACTTGCTAAAAATCAACTGCAAATAAGAAGTTGGCTTGTACTTGATACAAAGCTTCCAATTTTTCTTTCAGTGTTGTCAGACAACAACACTTGTGGTCGTACACAATGGACCTAGTCTTGTACCTTTATTTAGTGATGAAGACAATTGTGTAATTTCTGTCATTTATTGATACAACGAATTTGTTAATTTATAAATAATTAAGACCTAATATCACGTTTTGACAGGCAAGTATTTTTAACCTGATATAAAAAACTATTTTTTTTTTACATCAAGACTATTATTCTTTTTCCATTGAACTGCTCTCTGCTGTCGGTGTGCTGCAGGTCTGTGGAGTCCCTCAGCTTTTAAATCCAGATTAAGAATTGTGGAATACTACTCTGCAACTGTGTTATTTTTTTTAACGTTGTCTCATCTTTTTAATGACTTCTTTTAATCAATGTTCTTAACTGTTTTTAATCTTGCTTTATTTTTGGGTGTTTGTTCTTTTGTGAATCACTTTGAATTGCCTTGTGGTAATATCACATTTATTTGATACACTTCTTTGAGAAAATCTAATCCAATGTTTTGTTTCCTCACAGGATGCTGTAAGGAATGGACTGGTGGCCACTGAAGTGTTGATGTGGTTTTACATTGGAGAGTGCATCGGCAAAGGAGGCATCGTTGGCTATGATGTCTGAAATTTGGACTGCCATGCTTCTTATTTTTCATTTGAGCGTTGTATGCTCAACTTCCTGCAACAATCCTGGGAACCAATAAACCGATGTCTATTGTTAAAACAATTGTGTTGCAATTTCTTTTTTCTTTTTTTAACAATACATGCATGTATTTAACAAATATGTTTGTTTATATTCAGTCTGGTACTCCTTGTTCTCAGACATTTTGACACCACATGAGGAAATGCTCAGGTTTGAAATAAACTGTCTTTCTATTGTGGGTGCTACTTGCTCACTGTAGGACAATGAAGAGGTTGTTACTGGTTATGCTAACGTGTACTTTTCCCACTTGTAAAATTGTGGGGAAATGAAGGCTTTTACCATTGGATAAACTCAAATGTGTCACTACCCCAAATGGGTTTTACTTTATGTAGCAGTATGCATGTTGAAAACAACGTGCATACTGCTCCATAAAGTGAAAAATCACACCCCATCTCTGGGGCAACTACTTGTGCTTATCTTGAACATGCTTGTCTACTAAAAATCAATGTAGATCTTTACATTTGTATATAAATATGCATGAGCTGGTTTTTGATATGATTTATTGTAATACAGTAGTGATGTCCCATTGTCATTTTCGAAAGCCTAAATGTCCCCATTTTTTAACAAGTTTTTGCTGTTGTATAAAGCACATTTGACCATATGCAGTCACATGACGCTTGACTAACTTGATCCAGTTAATGATTATACCCACCGTAACAGTGGTCATTACAGTTCAGTTCCCGTTTTCAAACAACAGAGGGAGCCGTTGGTATCAGCAATGTTCAGGAGTGCTGTGATGTTTCTGAGCCGGTGGCCTGTTAATTTGTTCTTTAACATACCAGTTAAATACTTGAAACGGGCAAATTAAATCTGCCCTGATGCAGGTTGTGAAATTCCTTTGCACAGAAAAGAAAAGTAGACTTCTTTTATATCCAAAAACATTTCTAATCTGTTAGACCATTCATTTCTCAATATAGATATGATACCATCTTGTCTTTATATATTCTTGGGTAGGAATAGATAAATATTGAGCACCAAAAATTAATTCATTTAGCTCTTTATTTAGAGCAACAATGAGTAATTATTCCAAAACAAGTCTTTTGTGGTATCAATTAAGTTGTCCATTAAGTAAACATACAATAAATTAAACAAGGGTTAGTCTAAGTGAAAAAAACGTAATGACTCTCACCACTCCGATAATATAAAAAAATGACATGAATAAGTGAATTGATCATGAAATATTTCTCTGAATGTATTTAAACCATAATACTACAAATCCAGTTGCACCAAAGCAAATGTTACTATATTACTGTATTACTCATACAGGTAATAATTACAAGGGTGCAATATACTTTAATAGACGTATGCAATGCTGCCAACAATGGAATAAAATGTCCATCATGACCTCAAATCAAATCATCGCTTGTGATATGCTGCACCCTTAATGAAGTATTATGGGTACATCTAAAAATATGATACTGACATAACGTTATACACTAGTTCTGCTTATACTTTATGTTGTTCTTCTGTAATTAAGTAGTGATTATATTTCAAAAATGTATCATGTGATGCGTACAGTAACAAAAACAAAGCCATATAACTTCAATGTGGTTTGGTACAGTCTGACAATATAGCAAAAATATATATATATATATTCCAAAAGCACTGCGGTATATAACGAAAAACACATGGATGATAGGAAATTTCAAAATAAGAGCTGAAATATCAGGGGGTTCACTTGACATTGCAGATCTTGACTGAGGTTCCAACTCCGAAGCCTGGATAGAGGGGCTCGACGAATGTGGTCTCAAACCTGTGCAGGAGACTCATGGAGTTGCCTATGCTGTAGAATGCCAGCACGCCCGCAGCGTGGTCCAGGTACACGCCTATCCTGGGGGAGTGGGGCCCGCTGACGGCTTTGTCCACCCGGTTGTGCCAGGCGGAGTAGCCCGAGTCGGAGCAGAGCAGACTCCAGGATTTGTCGTTGTAGCCCAGCAGACACAGCGAGCCTTTGCCCTTCCGGCTGATGCTCCTGTAGGCCACCCCGATGGAGAACTCCCCACTCCACTCGATCTCCCAGTAGAAGCGGCCTCCGGACAGGGCCTCTCGACACAGCACCTGAGCAAAGCTGTCAAATCTCTCTGGGTTGTCTCCGTAGGGCTGCAGGTCTCTGGTGCGGATCACTTTTCTGTCTTTGTCAGAGACGTACAGCTCCTTGTAGGCTGTGCTCGGGTCCAGTTTTAACTGGCAGAAGTCTGTGGAGCAAAGCCAATACATTTTCATAGGGTTTAATTAACAAGCAAATTGGGTTGGAGCTTAACGGTCTTCAGTTAAATATGCCCAGATACATACATTTCACAAAATCTGCTCGGGCCTTTGGCTCTGGATGAAAAGGGGGAGCGTTGTCCACCATGTCTTTGCCTGCAGATGAAGAAGCGCTACGTTAGGTCAGTGTGAACTGTATACACCCACACACATGCCTTTAATTCTTTGATGATGTGCTTTTAACTAAAGACTCACTGTGGTTTTCCTCCTACGGTTCCTTCTGACCAAATTATCAATCTCAAAAATAGTTAACCTGCTGCTGTCTTATGCTGCTATAGGAGTTACAGCACTCACCTCTGCTCCTTCTGTCCAATGTTCGACTTTCTGTGGTGTAAACTGGGACCTCATTCACTGTGACACAGAACACATTCATATTCAGCACGTTTTATGGTGTGTCTTTTTTTCTTCCCTAATGCAGAAGCGTTGTGTATTCGGCTGCTTAAGTCCCACCTGACTTGGAGATCTTCAGCAGCTCCTCTTTCCCAAACTCCTCCAGGCGGTCTTTGATCTCGGCCACAGCTTTCCTGACAGAGCCAAAAGAGAAGTCAGGGTTCACCGTCACTCTGGGTATGAAGCCGTCATCGGTAGGGGTGCACAGGTAGTTGAAGTTCTGATGGCAAAAGAAAAATACATTGTCACGACGAGGACGAAGACTACATCGATGCGACCCGTCTGAGGTCAGTCACAGATGACCAAGTATATTTTTCACACATAGAATATGGTTTTAAAGTGCTTAAAACATATCACTCCAGAGAGACGGATTCATATTAAAAGGTAGGTACATTTTTGTAATAAGTCATTAATTGCTTGTTTGGAAATGCTTACACCCAAAATTACACAAAGGACTCAATATGTCGTTTTGCTGTCATTGTAATCATGAACAATCAGGGAAAGAAGGGTGTAAGTCTTTTTAAAAGCCACACCCACACATGAAACACTTCAGCTTTGATACCAAGATCAGACCTCAAGCTGTATTTCTTCCTCCAGCAGTTGCTCCCAAGCTGTTACTTGCCTGCAAAAAGTGGATGTGGTCGTCAGTGCTGTAAAGCTGCTTGAGGCCAGACTCCTTTTTTTTCAGTTCATCTATCTCTTGTTCCAGCCGCTCGATCAAAGCCTCGGCCTGGTTGAAAGCAGCCTTCTCGTTGATGCCAATCAGCTTGGTCACCTCTGACCTCATCCTCTCAATGGAGCGGATCATCTCCTCGAACATCTTCTGGCTCTCCACCATGGCTCTTTGGGCCGAGTTCTGGACAGAGCACTCCAGGTGTCAGTGGTCCTGAAGACACCACTATACAGAACATTTTACAGCCACGTCTGTCTTCAGCATAGAATTCTTACCTTCAATGAATCCACAGCAGTCTTCAGCTCATCCAGTTCCTTCACCCTCTCCTGGCATTTTTGTTTAATCTCAGCTTGGGAGAGTCCCAGAAGTTTCTGCAGAATAAAAGGCACATTACACACCCATCGCCCTCACTGTTTTGTTATGTGTGCACTGCCATACTGACTGTTTTAAAAAAAAGAAATATGCAGCAACGTTGAACATGTTTTTGCTGTTTTATTGTGTGAGATCTAAAGCCCCATATTTGTTGGTTTGGTAGAAAAACATTCTTTCTCATCAAGAACTACCTGGGGAGGCCTTTCGGTATGTGCAATAAACCCCGCTCAAAGAAGCTTCTTAATGCCGCAGCTTTTATCTCGGGGGGAGATCGGGGTAAAAAAAAAAAAATCTGTGCTGGAATTCTGATCACGTCAGGAATGTGACTTTTAAAGAGATGTTTTAAGGTGCACGCAGCACTGACATGCAGAATAGAGGGGTTTCTGATTCAGCTTTTGCTCGAGCCCACTAACCCATTCTTCAAGATAAGCTTGAGGAATGTGGGGAATCTACGGGGGTGAACGTGAGAACGGGGGGTGGGAGATGGAGTGAGACGTGTGAGACTCAGGTTGTTAATCTTTGGATGAGAGAAACCAGACTCCCAATGTTGTGAAGAAAACAGCGAGATGAATTATTACACCGGCATCATTTAGCCTGCATGGCTGCCTCAATCACCCATGAGTAAAAACCTCTGAATTCGGCAGATTTACTGCAGTATCTGTTCAATTCTGAACAAGGGGATTGGTGAGTCATTTGAATGTGCATTGCCAAGGTTACACTGCCGTGATTGGTTGATTGGGAGTTGTTTGAAGGCCTTGACTTCCTGACATTCCAGTATTGTGACAGACTCCCACTCTCACGGCTGGGAACCAATGCCACAGAGGGAAGTCAAGGGACAGTTTCTGTGTATCTCTCCCACAGCTGGAACACCGCATTCCCTGAAAAGCAGCTTTCAGGGACGATAACTGAAAGACACTTCCGGCGCCCTCCCCGCAGCTAATCAAAGAGCTGCATTTGTTTTGGCGGCGAATGCCTGGCGGTTTTAGCTGATAGCGTCGGGGTGATGGGACAAAGTACAACTGCCCGTCGGGGGCTGACTGAAAAAAATGGTTTGCTTTAACTGAAAACACTAGTGTCTATATAAATAGAATGTATTAAGCAGTTCATCTGTGAAACTGTGTGGCCTGACACAAAGGCACACTTTTCTCTCTCTGAACAACTAACACAACAATGTATTAAAAGGATGTTACCTGTTTCTCTCCCCTCTCTGCATCAGCAGAGACAATGTCATGGCCCCTGTGTTCACTGACTGTGCAGATAGCACAGATACACATCTGGTCTGTGCGACAGAAGAGCTCCAGGGACTTCTGGTGCTGCGGGCAGATCTTCCTGTCCAGGTTTCCCAGCTCGTCCACCAGCTTGTGCCGCTTGAAAGTAGCCGACTCGTAGTGTGGCTTCAGGTGCTTCTCGCAGTAGGAGGCCAGACAGTTAAGACAGGACTTCACAGCCTTTAATTTCTTCCCGGAGCAGAAGTCACAGGGGACGTCGTTCTGTCCGGCGTAGATGTTCCCCTGGGACGTGTTGAGGTTGAGGCCGCTCTTCCTTATCTTCTCAGCCACCATGTTCAGGGTGGCGTTGGGCCGCAGCACGGGCCTCTGGGTGAATGTGATTTTACACTGAGGGCAAATGTAAATCCCCGTGTAGTCAGCCTCATTCCAGTAGCCACTGATGCAGTCCATACAGAAGCTGTGGCCACAGGGGATAGCCACGGGGTCCTTCAGCAGGTTCACACACAGGGAACAGCTGAAATAATCTGGAGACGTGTGGTCGGCCATCGCGATAGGCTCCAAAAAAGAGTCAGGGCTGCAGCAACAAATGCAGAGTGCCAAGGCGCAGGTTCAGATTCCGTCGAATGAGCCCAGGGTCCCGCCCTCAAGAGTGTGGTGCCGCCTGCCAGAGACAGGACCTACTTGTATTTCTGAATTCCAGAGGTTATTGATTGAAAGCAGACAAGGTCCTCCCCCTGTGCTGTGAGTAGCTCGAGCCCTGCCCAGTTTAGATAAGCAGGTTAAGCAAGCACGGGGGAGAGAGAGAGAGAGAGAGAGAGAGAGAGAGAGAGAGAGAGAGAACCCAAGACACCTTTGGACACTTTCGATCACTTTAGTATATCTGTTTGCCTGTGTACTTTATCTTTTTATTTTTTATATCCTTTATATTATATTGTTAATTTAATTGTACATTATTCTCCTTTATTCCATGTATGCACCACCCAACATGAATCCACATACGTACAACATAGCTGGCTAATAACTGTTTCTGATTCTGATTCTGAGAGAGAGAAAGACTAAAAATGAATGAAATAAGCACACTGAGTGTTGACTAATATGCAGAAAGAAAGGGAAAGAAAAGAGCTTCCCTTTTCCTCACAGTTTCCTTTATTCCCTCATTTCTCATGTGGCTCATCTGCGGGGGAGGTGTGCGCACAGTTCTCAGCAGCTGTATTTCCTCCTATTGTTGTTGGACAGAATCGCCATTGTCTTAAACCGGTTGTAGTCCGACAAACACAAGATGAAGCCTGTTGGAATTCCAGGGACCACCCTGTGAACAAACAGAGACACTGAGCTCAAAGCAGAGTTTTGAAGTAACTTTCAAACATCTATTGCTGCTCCTTTTTGTCACCACATAACCTGTTCAAAGTTGAACCTGCTTCAGGCCACTCGTCACGGGTTGCAGTATTGACAATGTGTCCAGTCAGACCGGTCTGCCTACGTTTACTATGTTGACTGTAGATGTGTGGATGTTTGAGCGGCCGAAAGGAAATATTGAGACACCCAAAGGAAACACACGTGCACAAGCGCGTGTGCTCGTACAGGACATTCCTGTCAGGTCCAGGTGTGGTGTTGCAATGCCTGTCCCACATATTTGAGTTCAGGCTTAATCAGAAGTTATGTTATTGTTTTTAATTCTTGAAATACCCCTCTCAAGCGTACGCAGTGAAACTAGTGGAAACCCCGACTCACTGTCCATCAATAAAAGTCTGCTGGCATGATAGCTTCTCATTAGCATTTCAATAAGACCTACTGGTTTCTTCCAATACCTTTGTTGTTTGTTCAAGAGCCAGTACTATGAAGGAATATGTACGTTTTATTTAAGCAGAGACATTTCCTTCCTGATGCAGAATGCTAAGGCAATAGAAAATTTAATTAAATGTTGCAAGAAGTACATTGGCTGCACCTTCCTTTCATATCTTACATTACCTCATACACTCGGCAGTTTCACCTCTCCATACTTTAGATAAGCCAGTTTTTCCTTCCTTCCACCAGAGTGAGAGGAGCGCTCTCTGCTTACAAATTAACTACCTGATAGTAGTGAGAGCTGTTGTCATGGTAATGAGGGTAAGGATTTATTGCTCTGATTTACTACGGAGATTCTAACTCTTGATAGAGAAGTGACACCTATACAGTGTACATATTGGTGAAAGTAAATTACGGAAAACTTTATGTTACTAGACACTTTAATGAGACCTCTCTAACATACACTGGCTTCTCCAACAGAGTTGTATGTCTGTTCTTTAAAGAAGCAGACAGAAACTCCACAGTAATTCGAAGCTCAGCCCAACTCCAGTTCTAGGCGAGAGGTCAACCGACTTCTGAAGGAAAAGTGCATGAACACAAATGAAAATTTGATTAAAGGAAACAAGAATCCAAGTGACTGAGCGCCAGTTATATAAACAGGAAGAGAATATAATCGGAATGTGTTTGGAAAAAACTTTGCTGATACTGGTGGACACACAAAAGGGAATAGTGATGAAACAGACCGAATGTGAATGGAAAGGCTGCACAGTAAGCATTGCCGACACCACACCGGCAACCAGGAGCAAAAAGCAGCACACAGTGAGGGCTTATCGTGGTCGCATTTATACGAGTATGTCATAAAAACCTGGACTGATCGCTAGAATTGCAGCCCCATATAAAGGTGTCATGCTAAGAAGCAGATTTGATTTGATTTGCATAAAATGCAAAAGTAGTGTGAATGAATTTGCAAAAATACAACAGTGAATAGATATTTGTTTAGTCTAAAAACATGGCAGTGTGTCTGGCACAATACCGATTATATGTAAGGAATTCAGCCAAATTGAAATCCTTTTTGCTCTTAATTTATATGAAACCAAAACTTGGGCAAATAATGTTGTCCGTAGGTTGGGAGCTATATGAACTATAACTATTGAGTGGCTCAAATAGCAAGGTGAAGCTTAATAAGTGTGGAAGCAAAATCCATATCGTGGCGAAAAAAAACGGTCAACGGGCCAACGTAAGTAGGTAAAAAAAACACAAAAAAACCAAAACAGAACTCCTTAAAAAGAAAGAAATTCTATTTGAAGTGGGTTTCCGTTTACAGACCTGTTGAAGTGTCATGTTAAATCCTTCTGGCCTAGTTTGCAATCAGATGAGAACGGGAGTCATAGTGACTCAACCCTTTGCTCTGCTTGTTTTTTGCCTTAGAAATAAGACTTACATCAAATGACTTGCAGTCAATATTACATGTGAGTGTTAACTTTAACTGTGAGAAATACACGTCATTGTATAAATTGTAATATAAGGAATTCGTGCACACATGTAACATCACTTAGATCAACATCTTAAGGTCTTTTGACGATTAAATATGATTCTTTTAAATAAATTCCCAACATGTTTTTGAAGAAAAAGATAGGCATATAACTAGAGAAAAATTTTAATATATATTTATCTGCATGAGAGCTCATTGCCGTTAATCTATCAACATAGTGTTGTTTAGTGCAGAGCATGACCCCAGTCACAGAATCTTCTTTTGGACAAATAAGACGCTACATTTAGGATCGCATATCAACTGTAGTTACTGTTGTTGACGGACAACAGACCCTATAATGTCTGGCACTCATCTTGGGTCTTGCTGGCTCCAGCACAATGGAATCTTTGAAGCAGGCTCTCTCGGCCCTCCTGTTATCTGGGCTATCAAGTGTAGTTGCATTCCTGTCGCCATTTCGATTGCCCTGAAACTCCATTTTGGCTGGGAGGCGTGTTCGCTACGATGGAAGGTTCTGAGCTCAGATGAAGCAACATCCTTAGTTGGTTTCGAGGTGCACATTTTCTTACTTGAGATAGAAATAATTGAAATTATACTTTCAGTGTTGACTTACAGAAACTGTAGCAGTCCAATTAAACGACAGAGAGAGTCAGTAGCAATGAAATGCAAAGTGTTAATCATTAACTGGTCACAGGTGAGGTGAAGGTCAGGTAAGTCTCTGAGGCTCCAGAATTGAACAGGGGTCTACAAAGGGGTTCATTTGGCCGCACACAATAGTAGGAGTCGTTGTCAATGCGGTTTGTGGCGGGACAGTTGTAGTTGTATCATTTTTTGACAACGTTAAGGAAATAATCTCTTGAGGTCAGTTTGTACAAACCAGAAGGAAACAGTTTCCCTTGAGACAATCGCTAACACTCAGCAATGAGACTGTACTGAACTGTAAAGGGTTTCTTTACGCTACGATTTTTATTTTCCCTTTTTTCTTTTGATAGCACTTGCTTTTGCAAGTCTAGTTAAAGCCAATATATGGTATATATATATAATAGCATGTTATTATTATATTAATTAAAGAACATTGAATTGAATTCAAATAATTAAGGAACTACACCTTTTCAGACAAAACCGTGTACCTCACAATTACACATTTTATTCATTCTCATTGCGATCTGTAACTGACAGAGGCTTTTGCTGTATTCTTTTGTTGCCCCGCCCTTGTTTGACTGGTTTCGGCTTAACCAGTTTAGCCGCCCTCTGTTTACTCTATATAACTCGCCCAGGAAGTAGCGGTGAGATCACTTTGCCACTGTGCTGCCACTGAACGTTGTGTCCACACAGCGTTTTCACTGCATTACAGGGAGCAGCACTGAATCGCCTCCATGTCTTCTGACCAGGACAGCTGCCACCTGTGTAAGGAATACCTCAGAGATCCCGTCTCCATCCCGTGTGGCCACATCTTTTGCTCCGTTTGTCTGAAGACGTACTGGGACCACGCCGACCACACAGGCTCGTACATCTGCCCAGTGTGCAGGGTCAGCTACAGCAAGAGGCCCACCCCGAGACGCATTGGAGGCTCACGGAGCTCCACCATGCAACGCAACTCTGAATCCTTTCCGCCTCCGCCGCCTTCCCCCGACTACAACTACGCCGGGCCCCAGGATGTAGGTTGTGACATCTGCATCGGAAAAAAGCACAAAGCCGTCAAGACCTGCCTAATGTGTCTGGCCTCCTACTGCGAGAAGCATCTCAAGCCCCACTACGAGTCAAACACTTTTAAAAGGCACAAGCTGGTGGATGAGATCGGACACCTGGACAGACAGATCTGTCCCCAGCATCAGAAGGGTCTGGAGCTCTTCTGCCGCACGGACCAGATGTGCATCTGCGTGCTGTGCACGGTGAAAGAGCACAAAGGTCACGACATGGTGTCTGCCGAGCAGGAGAGGGCTGATGAGCAGGTATGTTCCTGTTTTTTTTTTTGCGTGAACCTTGTCTTATTTGGGAATCAGCAGTGCGACATTTACCTATGACACAGTGGCAGGTAATTATTAACAGAGCAGCTTACAATAGATGAAACATTATGTGTGACACACCCGTATGATCATAAAGTTCCTTCCTGCACCTACAACTATTGTGGTCCACTTTGTGCACCGTTAACATAAATTCTCACAATAACTAAGAAAGATTAAATGACAGATTCAAAAGTTTTTTTTGAATTTGAGATGTTGATTTGAGGGATTGTTGTTTTCCCCATAGCAACGACTGGGCGCTACCCAGGCCGAGATCCAGGAGAAGATTCATGACCGACTCAAGCAGATGGAGGAACTGAAACAAGCAGTGGACTCACTCAAGGTTTGTACCACCATCTGTCACAGAGCAAACCAGACATACCGCTACAGGTTGAATGGAAAGACTGCTCTGCGTAGAAGGCGTGACAGCCTGTGTCAGTGTTACACCCGTTTGATTT